CCAACTCTATGATTCTATGATTCTATGATTCTATGATTCTATGAGCTAGGTAATTTTGCAGATACAAGTTGCCAATCGGAAGTAAGATCACTTTTTAAGAAGTGGCTGAATGCAAAGATAGTCTGCAACATGATTTACCATTCTATGGAGACCAGCACAGTAATAATTTCTTTGTTTCAAATATTCTATAAATTCTGAGTATCAGAAGGCATCCTCATTGTGACAGTCAAAAAAGACACTAGAAACAGGACATGAATTGTTGCAAATGAAAATTGGATACAGAAACAGTGTATTAAGCAGGTTAATAGAATCTGTCTAATCAGATAATAGAGAACCACACTATAAATTGCTTTCCTCTAGAATAAATATGGCTGCAAGGGTCTGGTTATCTTGCACATCCCCTGCTATGTAAGAAGATTTTTATAACTTTTAAATCATTATTTCTGTCCTTGTCTATTCATGAAGGCATTTGGCCCTATATGCATATGCCTTTGTTGAATGTACATTTTTATATCAGTCCTTCCCTGTTCTTGCTTATGAAGGCTAGGAACCATAAATCATTTTCATAGGGATATGCTTTGGTATTTTGACTGTCTTTATTTGTAGGCTGTAAATGCACAGACACAAAACTAATATATTCATACCCACCTGCTATAAAATTAGGAGGGAATTTATTACTAAAAGGTTCATATTTAGAAATCTTACAAATGAAAAGGGTATTTTAATGGAAATCCAACTATATAATCATCCATAGGAATTTAGAGAACACATCTGAAATGTTATGAAAAAATATAAAGGAAACTTTTTTTTGCTGATTGGATCCTCTCTCTCTCTTCTGAAGACATTTTGCTTTTTTCCACTTATCTTTCATATCTCATCTTTCTTTCAATGTATTAGCAACATGTATTTCATCTCACTCTTTGAAAGGAACAAGTAACATGGGGTATATCCCATGGATTCCCATGGAACTTACTTCTTGCATCTCGTATTTATGATACAACAGCCACTTAATGCATGCAGATCTCTTTGCATTCTACACAACTGCCTTGGCACTGTGAACAATACTAGACAATCAGTGCAGGAGGGAAAAAATGCAACATAGAGAAGATGGGCAAATGAGGAAGTAATTTACACAAGAAAGAGAGAGCACAGTTGGAATAATAACAGCCAAAGAATAGTATTCCAAGGTACAGTTACAGAATCACTGCAGAAGAATATAGTATAGCCTTTTCATATAATTAAATACCAGCTATGACTTCATGTATAAGGTATGAAAAATATACCTGTCTCATCTAGTTAACTCTTTTTTATTTCTTGCTAGATCATGGGAAAAGGTCACATAGGAACATAACAGATATTACTTTTCAGCTCTTTATAATCAATGCATATTTCTATGTAGTATGATCTGCAAAATATATTCTTTTTATTCGATACAAACAGCCACAATCAGTCTGTATTACATGGATGGGATGGAGACAGTCATTCTCTTAATCACAAGAAGTACAGACTGCAATCTTGTTGATCAAGGACCTTTACAGACTGCCAGAAATAACTTGAGTACACTTTAACTGCCCTGGCTCAGTGCTAGGGAATCATGGGAACTGTAGCTCTTGTAGCACCAGAGCTCTTTGACAAAAAATGCTCAATGTCTCAGAAAAAAACTACAATTCCATTTGATTCCCTAGCACTAAGCCAGGGCAGTTAAAGTGGACTGAAATTGCATTATTTCTGACAGTCTGCAAAGGCTCAAAATCCATAATGTCCTTATGACACTTGTTCATATGAGTGCACACCTTATGTGCATACCTGGGAGCTACCTTGCTACCTTGACTTGGGCTGAATCTACATGGGGGCTGTATCTCAGCTCCACTGTGTAGTATCCTGCCCCAGTCTGACCACTTTACTGAAATCAGTCTGGAAAACCACATGAGCTCCCCATAATTTAGTTACATCAGTACAAGGGGGTGTTTCTACTATGTGCACATGTTCCCAATATTGGTTTATGTCCAGTCACAGAATTGCAGCAGCTATGGTTTTATTTTTTATTTCCACAATTTATGTGCATATTTGCATATTTTCTGTTGTTCTGACTGCCCATCTGTACTCCCATAGGATTGGGTGCATACCTGGGCAGTTACCTCAGCCCTCGTGTTTGTTTTCTCTGCACTTTCTAATTTCCTGCCTCATATTTAAAATGTGATTTCCAGGAAAGTGGGTGCAGGATTGTTGGCATATGGTGTAATCTTATATAGGTCTACCCAAACATGAGTCCTTCTGAATTCAATAGTGCTTACTCCCAGGAAAGTGTTTTATAGTGTTTGCTTCATGAAATCTCCATCACCCTACTGAAAAGGACATCTAAAAGGAAGCAAATATTAAAAAAAAAAAAGCTTCAAACCTTCACATATGTCTGGAGTGCAAACAGGGTAAAAAGAGAAAAAAATGGTGCTGATCCTTTCAGCCCTTTGTAGGAAAGCAAGAACCCAGGTGGCTCTGGTGATTCTGTGCTGCCCATCCACCTGCCAGTCACCACCTACCAACCTGTGCTCGCTTTCTCCAGCCCCCCCCCCATTCTACCCCAATCCTGATTTGAGGATCATACCAGTCTTTTTTTTTAAAATGGTTCTTCCCCAAAACAGTGGAGTAAAGTGGAGGGTTTTTTGTTTTTTACAATCACCTTAAACCTCTCAAGAATAATAATAATAAAAAAGAAGTATTTTCACATTAGAATGAGAGGAATGTTGTGTGTCCCAAAAGGACTGACATTAAGTACATATTATTTCACCTGTAGATTCAGCCTTTTTTGGGGGGGCGGGGGGGGGGTCTGCA